AATCAGCTGTATATTATTATGTTAAGTGTGACAATAAATTCACTGTGGAAAATCAGCTGTATATTATTATGTTAAGTGTTGACACTATGTTAACCATGCAATATCAGCTGTATATTATCATATTAAGATCAGCTTACCTGTTGGTCTACATCTACTGCATCTAGACCAGTATACATGATTTTATCAACTTACCTGTTGGTCTACATCTACTGCATCTAGACCAGTATACATGATTTCAACCCAACCATCTTTGGAAGCTACTACGAAGAGAGACATTAGAGCCTGTGAAGATAAAACAATATTTGGTTTAATGTATCACTTGCTGGATAACATAAAACATAACTGAATTTCATTATATATAAGCTAAACATTTCTCCTAATGTTTAAGCGTTGTTTGTACATGAAAAGAACTGTCGGAAAATTTCATATTCATTCAGATATTCTAGATAATTATTACTGTAGAACTCTAATTATAAAGAATTACAGCGAGGACTCGTATATGTGTGTGTGTGTGTGTATTGGAGTGTTATTAATTTATAAGATGCCGTGAACTTTTCATTACGAAACCTGGGAAAATAAATATGAATTGTTTAACTTACCTGTCCAAGATTGTCAAAATTGTATTTCCTATTAATCCACTGATTCCTTGGATCAGCCAAACAGTCCGTCTTGTTCTTCACACTCTCGACATCAGGTCCATCACAGTAGAAAAGCTTACCCTTAAACAGCTGTTGACCAGAATAAAACAAAGCCACTTGATTTCGCGATGTCAGTGAAACTAAACTTGTAAACAAAAAGTTACAGTGACCCAATGATCGTATAATAAAAGGACTTTTCGGGTAAAAAATGTACAGACAATAATACAAAAAAGACGGAACCTGTCCGGTGTTATACAAGTGACGCTAACTTTGTCATAACGTATTAAATAAAAGTTACAATGTGAGTTCAAGTTAGTGTAGTTTTAACGATAGTACTTAATTACTAAACAGCTTTTAACTTAAAGATAAAAAATATTTTGAACAGTTTAAAAATTTAGGATAAAACACATTTTATAGAATAAACATATTCTTAATCTTATATTTAGG